ACCCCAAAGGGCACTGGCTTAGTCAGTTTAAAAGGTGAAAATAAAAAAAGGCAGCTAGAATGCAGTGATTTTAAATTTGTGTATATGTATATAAAAATGGATAAATGATAGTCAGATTTTAAGAACGATATGCTAGAAATATAACTTAATGCGACTGTGAGTTTTAAAAGACAGACAACAGAAGTAGCTCTTAGGAAAATTAAAGGCCTTCTTTCACACTGGCATAAATTAGGAATAAATTCTTTCTAATCAGGCATTACCCTGTCATAAACTTAATGCAAAGGAATTGGGCCCCGCAGCACCAAATTTGTTATTCTGTAACACAATCAAGCACCAGGAGTTGCATTTCCCCCTTTTTAAAAAACGACAATGTTATTTTTTTAGCCAGTTAACATTTAAAGGTCATTGTCACGGGAAGGAAACATTTCTTGTCTTAAGTTTAGTGAAGTCGTTAGAAACGCGCAGTCTGCTCCTTTATGGACTTCACTTTACAACACCAGATGGAGGCGTGTGAAAGACACTCTGAAGCTCAGTGATACTGTACAGTGCAACAGCAGAGGCAAAGCAGAGATGTGACAGAAGAGCTGCACGGGCTTCAGAGGCATTTGTCAGCAGCAGCTGTTGTATCCCTGTCTTTCTTGTTATTTAAGCGAGGCTCATCTAGGCAATAATCCTTTCCAGCCAAAGGAATAAAATCCCATTATGAGAACTCATCTTCTGAGCACAGGAGGTCCTAGATAAAGAGCACAACCCCCAATATTTCTGCAGATTGGCTAAACAGCATCTCTGCTTACCTATCTCCCAGTGCAATGAATGATCGAGCAAACACTTGGTGCTCATTATTGCTCAGATGTCCCCTGGTGGTCTTACAGCCTCTCGTGCCAGAGAAACACAGCTTTCCTTGATTTATAATCAATAACAAGGCTACCACACATGCCCTTTGTACCTGTTGGAGCCAGAACACCAAGTCTTGCTCTCCCTAGCTGTGCCAGACATCACTATTTCCTAGAATAAATTACCTGGGGAAATCAGGTTTCCTTGTACAAACAAACCAGGCTTTCAGTTACACAGTAACTGAGACATTCAAAAATAAACGGGGGGAGAGGGAAATTGGCTGACAGGAAACCACTGAGGAGTTTCAGCAAGCTAAAAAAAAAAAAAAAAATCAGAGTTTTGAAGACAAAATTTCACCAAAATATTTTCTGATATGTTGTTTTGTTATTAAAAATCCCCAGCAGGATCCATAACCATCTATGGAGGTTTCACTGCTTATTCATCTATAGACAAATATTCTCTCAATCAGACAGGCCCCAATTACAAATGATTACAAGTGATGTTAGCTTCTTAGCTGATTTCTCAAAGTAGATATTAACACTAGAGAAAAAGAATTTATCCTGTTTAAAGATATAGAAATGCCTCCCCCCACAAAATGAAGTTCTCCTTTTCTCTTGCTACTGATAGACACATGCTAACTTTTCATTAAAAATGTCACAGCTGTCAAGCTCTACTGAGACAGAGCAATGAACAGAGTCTTTAAAATAACAGAAAATTGCAAAATAGATAAGATTTTAAACAAATAAAATTGGAACAATATTTTCCTTTCATTCCTTGGTACAGGCTGGTTATCCTGTAGAGCAGGATACCTAAGAACTCTCTTTACCTAAGAACCGTCTGTAATAAGAAGGGTTAGAAATTAATTTTCAAATTAAACGTGAGTATAATGAAAATACATGAGTCCAGAAGCTGGAGATTTAGGCAAAATATCAAACACAAAGTCCTGTGACAGAACAGCAAGAGTTATCAAGGCTAAATAGCTATAAAAACCCCTGTCATTTTCCATTGTTTCAAGGCAAACAAGATTTTGCTAGTTTTAGCACATGCTCCTTTGCTCAATCAGGAAGACCCATTCTACAAAAGCTTAATTAATTTCCAATAGGCTACAAGGAAAAAGCCTTAGTTTAAAATTTGGAAGATAAGACTTCATCTAACAGCATGTTATTTAACATAATGAAATCCACAGGAAAAAAGCAAACCCTTTGAGGCTTTATCACACTGCAGTAGACTTCAGAGATGCTGATTATGAGGTGGTGTTCACACAAAAACAACACATTAATTACCCAGAGAGCCTTGAAGTGAGCAGAAAGATTGCAAGAGTGGATTATCAATTTCTCTGTCTTGACAACACTTGGAGCTTGACCTTTTAAGCACTCAGGCACCTAGTCTGTAGGTATGTGCTATGTGAGGCATTTAGTGGGTGTTGAAAGTTCTACTCGGTGACAATATTCATTTCTGAGTGCCTTTATTCCTTTAAAAATAATCTGTCACTTGAGTTTTTTATATGCAGTTTGAATTTCAGAATAACATCTATGAGAAATCTTAGGATATTGCCTGGATCATGATCTCCTTCTTGATATAACCCAAAGCAGGCACAAAGACATGTGATGAAAGAGAACCAAAGCAAAAGTATCATGTATAAATATATATTATATATAATTATGTGCCACTCTGGTTTAGCCATTCCCTGCAAGTGTTTTTCTATGCAAAATATGCTGATGAAAACACCTTTCCAAAACTGTAATTTGTGAAATATACTGCTTATATGATTACAAGGGGCCCATGCCTTCAACGGAACTTATGTTTATGCCTAAATTATGTACATGCTTAACTGTATGGATGACTTGAGTCTATAATTAAAGGTTTCATATTAAATTTGATCTTTCAATGAAAAATGTCACCCATGAAACAGCAGACTAGAGTGTCAAAAATAAAGAAGTGTGTACCTTTTATTAAGAATCATCTCCTTAACTTTATGTATTAAATCCTCTGTAGACACACCTGAAACTGCAATATCCAGTGATCAAAATGAAACATGTCTGGAGAAGAAATAAAATCCTACTTCTGTCAATTTCAAAGAGGCAGCCGGTAGGAGAGGGGTTATAAGGGGAAAGCTTGAGCAAAAATATTATTTTTCAGCCTCAATGACAATTTCTTTGGCTTAGAACTAGCTATCCAAGCTAAGGTGTTTGCATTATGCTATTTGGATTGGGGCCATTGTTTCCTATTCTGCAAGTGACAATACACACCTGCTGTAGATCACACAGGAGAGCAGATTGCAATTATTGCTGTTTATATCAAACAAAAGGCACTTACTCGTTTTTGGAGAGTTGGATGCTGCTATTGCTGTTGCTGGGGTATTTTGTTTCAAGTGATCTACCTGATTATTATTCTCTATGCTTTGCTAGTGCCTGCGAGCAATAGAATCTCTAGCAGAGCTTGTAAAAAACCATTGCTTTCTGAAAGGGTCCTATAAAAAAAACATTTCTTATACGCAGCACAGGAGACCGTTTAAAAATCATTGGCTTAAGTGTTGTGGAAATTATCAGCACTGCAAAGACATGGGCGCTGTGGGAACAAGGCAAATTGGGGACCAGGGACACCGACACCATTTCTGCTGCCGGAAGGTCTCGATGTCACCAGTCCCAACCTCACCCGTATTAAAGGTGACAAGCCTGAAATTCTGAGGCTCACACATAACTTCATCTGTAGCCAGGGTGACAAGACTGATCGCTATCTCCAGCACTGGGTGGGAACGTAAATGTGCTGCTGGAGCAGGCGCCAGCACAGAATTATTTTGATTTACACGGAGTTATTTGCCTGCCAAAAAGCTTCATGTCATCTTACCTTCCTCACGTAGCAGTCAACACATTCCAAAGCTTTTTTATACCATTTTATACTTAAATGGCATTATAGACTCCATGCTAACTTCACCTTTTTCATTTGCACCTTTTGGTTAAAACCCAAACATTGCAGGTGTCGCCTCCTTAAAACCCGCGTGGCAGCGAAGGAAAGCGCCACACGAGCCTCAATACTACTGCTGCCAACGCGCTCTGGATCCAGCCCTAACCCCAGGGCAGCAATCGCTGCTTCCACCCCATCCCGCCCCGGTGTGTCCCGTGTCCCTCCCCGCTGTCCCGTGTCCCTCCCCGCTGTCCCGTGTCCCGCCCCGGTGTGTCCCGTGTCCCTCCCCGTTGTCCCCGTCCCTCCCCGTTGTCCCGTGTCCCGCCCCGGTGTGTCCCGTGTCCCTCCCCGTTGTCCCCAGTCCCTCCTCGCTGTCCCGTGTCCCTCCCCGCTGTCCCGTGTCCCTCCCCGTTGTCCCCAGTCCCTCCTCGCTGTCCCGTGTCCCGCCCCGCTGTCCCGTGTCCCTCCCCGTTGTCCCCTGTCCCTCCCCGTTGTCCCGTGTCCCTCCCCGTTGTCCCCTGTCCCTCCCCGCTGTCCCGTGTCCCGCCCCGGCGCGGGAAGCGGCGGGGCCCGGCCCGGAAGAGGCGGGATCGCGGCGGCGGCTCCGGCGGCTGAGGCGCGGTGAGGGCGGTGAGGGGCGGCGGGGGAGGCTGTGAGGGAGGAGGGAGCAGGAGCGACCCCCGCGTGCTCCCTCAGCTCTGTCGGGCCCGCTGTGAGGGGAGGGGGCTCCGGCAGAGCCCTCCTGTGGGAGCCGGCCCCCTCCATCGCTCTCTGCTTGGCCTTGGGTGCCGGAGGGTGCCGGGTGTCCCCGGTACGGCCCCCCCGGGATGAATGTGATATTAACAGGATAAACTGTGAGAGGAGCACTTCCAGCTGCTTAGGAGAAGCTGTAGCGGTGGGTCCCCAGGGCTGTGCTACCCCCGCCGCCCTCACCTAGACTGCTTTAGTCTTGAGAAGCGAAGTTCCTTGGAGATAGCCCGTAATAAAAAACAAACGAGGTTAGCTCCTGGCAGAGGAAAGGAGGATGCATCCTGCAGGAATAATTCCTAGACTTGCCTCAGGGAGGTGTGCGCTGCATCAGCGGCTTGGGGAAGGCTGCCCAGGGCTCCGGAGGCTGCACACACCAATGCCTGAGGCTGCTCCAGGGGCGCTGGGGCCGCAGCAGCCCTGGGCTCATTCCCTGTCTGCTCATGGGTACAGCGGGCAGGAGCACCACGCTTGGTCATTGAGGATGTATATTTTGTATGTTTTAGCTCCTGGGGTCCTGCCAGCAAGTCTTTGAGAAACAGCAGAAGAGCTTATTCTGGAAGTCCAGAGCCAGATACTGTAAATGCTGTAAATTACATGGGGCTTGTTAAAACAGTAGGCTTAGATCCTTTCTGATTTGCTATTACGACCAGATTTTGCTGATGGACAGTACTAGATAACACCAACATCTGAATGGCAAATGCATATATACAAAAATAAGGAAACTAAAGCCTTAAACACAAATCCCTTCACACAGGCATATTATAAGCTAATTTAGCATCCTCTTAGGTGCTGACCTTTCCCTGAATCAAGTTATTAACACATAAATTATTGTGAATAAATGTGATTATTTTTCCTGTCTTGCTGGTTATGTGTATTTGTAGGCTTTTGCATGATGTTCTACCCTAGCAAACTTTTGAAGTTGATTGTGGGAATTTTTTTCCTATCAAGTCAGTATCAGTAGATGGGGAGCAAGTTCTGAAGAACTTTTTTCTGTGAGGCGTCTGTGCTATCTTCCCAAAACTCAACAGCTTTGTTAATGAGTGTAACTTTTCCTAGCTATTACGATGAGAGTCTTCATGCATTGCTAAAGCCACTTCTGTTGTGTTCATGTTTAAAGTTTTCAGAATGACTTCCGTGGCTGACATACCCCCGAATTATGAAACGATGTTTGCTCATCGATTCACATCGGATGATGAAGAATACCAAGAATATCTAAAACGCCCTGCAGATCCCCCTCCTATAGTTGAAGAATGGAGAAACAGATCAGGTGGCAACCAGAGAAACAGAGATCGGTACTGGTTTTTCTTTTTACTAATACAGTTAATTGATTTCAGAAGAAGTATGAAGAGAACAGTCTCTTCTGTTCATTGAAGTATTTCTTTGTTCTTTGTAGGTAACTATGTTTAAGAGATATAAAGTCTTCTCTGAAAAGTAATGAGGTTTTATGTTTTCTCTGTATTGACTGTCAATTTGCGTTGTGTATGAAAATTTTTGCATTGTGTATAAAAGTCCTAAATTCTTTGCTTTTTGGTAAAGAATAAGCTGGAACCACTGAATCCATTGCCGTGGGGTTTGTTATTGCTCAGCCAGAAAAAATTTTCCAGAGGGAAAAAATGAGATTTCTGCAAAACTAAGCAGCCTGTCTTATGGTGGATGATAACTGGCAGGAAGATGTGCAAAGGAACAAGCTACTAGTGTGATTATCTGTTACTAGCTGTCCAGAAAACATTTCATTTGTAAGCTAAATATTTGCTGTACTTCTTAAGATTAGCCTGTATTTCTTTTATTCAGTAGAAGTGACTGTAAAATCAATCATCCAATCTGTCTGGCAAGTACAGTGTTACCTGCCAAAGCAAAATACTTTGAATTATTTCTTCAAGATGTAATTGCAGCTTTTTACTGAATTTTGGACAGATTTTTGAGTGACTGAAAAACAACCATTACAGCATATAGTACATTTGTGAATACTAACATCAGCCTTTAATGTAAAGTAGTTAAACTTTTTTCAGCCAACAATTGAGAAAACTCCTTAGCTAAATACCTAAATAGAATGTGTGCCTTATCTGAAGAAAAGGAGGGCAACATTGTAACTTTTTCTCACCTTAGAAGCTTGTCATTAAGTTAAACAGAATTAAAGATTAAAAGCAGGTGATTGTTTAAGGTGTTCTTAAAAGCTCTGTGGCTCTTTGAACTGATGAACTCTTACACCTACACTATGGTCACAAAGTGAAATTTTTGCAAATGTTTGCACCACACCATTTGCAAACAGAATGACTATGAGCCAGCTCAAGCATTGATAGGAACTGAGATAGGGCTGAAAAGAGAAAATTTAGACTGAACAATGGCTAAATAGCACTGATAAGGTACAGTGTCTTGAGTGTGGGAATCTGCAGGAGACTGTGGTAGCAGTGTTTTAGCAGTAGTATGTATTTTAGGGAATATTCAAATTCCAGGACTCACTGCTGTTAGGTAGCTGTAACTGTACTGAAGCCTGCTGTGCCAGAGCTTTCAACCTTGAAGCTGCTGGATGGAACCTGGCTTTGATGCTCTACAGAATGCACCTTTGGGTTGGTTTTTAGATTTATGGGCAGAGTCTCTGTTAAAACTTACAGCAGTTCACCCAATGCCTGGGAATACTTTGTGTTAGGAAACAGACTGTCCAAATGCTGTGTTGGGTAAGAAATTCATGAGTGATCTCAGATGACTGTAGGTATGTTTTCATGAGTCTGTCATATAAACATACAAATATTTGAGTGTATGAACAGTTACATGACAGTTTCCATGAAAACTGCCAAATAAAAGAGTTCATTATAATTAAATTTTTTAGACTTTATATAATTTCTGTCAGACTTTAATATATTTTCTCATTGCAGGTTTCAAGATGGGAGATATTTTAGAGGGGACAGATACAACTGGCAAGGTGACTACAGATCTAATCAGAGGCCAGATAGAGGCTGGGGTAACAACTACCAGCAGCACAGACAAGGACAATCCTACTCATCCCACTACGGACAATATGGCTACAACTCCTACAACCCGGGGCCTCGTTACCATCCTTACTGATATCCTTGTGGTTGAAAGTCCAGTGATGCTATGTAACAAATTCACTTAGCTTTTAGTTTTCTTATTTTTCCACCATTTATAGATAACTGAAGAACCAGTGTTACAGTCCAGTGCTGTTTTTCTGTAATGTGAAATGAAAAAGGGAACTCCTTTTATGAATAATAAAACCATATTATATGGAGTTTGTTTAGAGTCTGTAGATTTTAGATTAAATTTGTATCTCCTTCTTTTGTCTGAATATGTGTTGTGCACGTTTTTTCTTCCATCACTGATATTTCTCTGTGTTACATTTTAGAAAGCAAAACAGGTGAGGGCAGGATAGGATAGCTGTGGTTTGTATGCAGCCTGTAGCAGTGGCACATTGCCTTAAGATAGCTCTTTTTGAAAATAACATACTGTGTCTTTCTGTGGAGAGAATTTCTTAGTTCTGTTTTTGACAGTGAAAAGCTCAATTTGGTTTGAATTTCAGATGCCTTAAAACTGAGAAGAGAGATCCTATTACTGAAATATTTTATGGGGTGGCATAGTGTCTGTTAACTCAATGGCTTCAATGCATTTGCAGTATTCCTCTTAAAACATGGCCTAAAGGTTGGATAAAAAATAAGTCGTTAAATATGTATCTTATTGTAACAGTTCGGTGATATATAAGTTTTACCTGAGAAATAATATCAAACTTAGATTAATCTGTGTCATCTTCAAATAAATTTGGTGTGTACGTAATAAATTTTGGAATTCCCATTTCAGTAAAACTGTAAAACTTCGATGCTATTGTAGTTTGTATGAAATACTTGGTGCATGTTATAGAAAAAAAAATGTGATCAGTACTGGTCTCTATTCTGTACGGGAAAATAGCATAAACAGTGCAGAGTGTTACTCAGTTCTTAGAATTCAGGATTTATGGGGTTTTTTAAGTATTCACACAATAAAAGTACAGTTCACATGTAAAGATGTTGCTGAGTATTTCTGAAACCTACTTTTCAGACATTCAGGATTGCAACACTATCTCCTCCTGAATGTGCCCAGGTGTGCCTGGGTGTGTCTGAGTGTGTCTGGGTGTGCCTCAGTGTGTGTGACTGTGCCTGAGTGTGTCCAAGTGTCCCTTAGTGTGTCTGGGTGTGCCTGAATGTGTCCAAGTGTTCTTGCGTGTACCTGGGTGTGCCCAGGTCTGCCTGAGTGTGTGATCATCCACCATCTGATCATGGTGCTGGACTGACAGATAAGTGCTAATACTGGACAGCTGTGGGCTTAAGTTAAAAGAATGGCCTACTCAGCTGCAATCAGAAGGATGAGACACATTGTGATTAATTAGAAGTCTGGAGTGTTAATCCACTATCCACATTCTGCTTTAATAGGGTTAGAGTTCCCTGTTCCCCCAATTATGTGATCAGCCAATTTGTATCAAGGGCGTGTCTTTATATTTGACATTTTCTTCTACTGCTGCAGAAACGGGGTCCCATCCCTGCTGACTGCTGTAAAAGCCATGGCATTATGTGATAAGGAGCACAAATTAGTGCATCTTGATTTAAAGACAAAGTACAGAAGTCAGAAGCAGAGTCTCCCAGCTCATCAGATACTTTTAAGAGCGAAAAGGTGGGTTATACAGAACAGTCACTGTATGTAGCTTTACATAGGCTGTGATACACAAGTGCCTTCACTTACCTGCTAAGCCTTTGTTTTCTGCTTTTCTTATAATACTGTTAGCTCTGATACAGATTTTAATATCCTACTCCCTGAAGTATTTAGAATTCAGTTAGAAATCTTTTCACAAGAGGTTTGTTTTTGTCTAAGGAGAAATGCACTCCTTTGAACCCTCATTAATACAGTGGAGCCTTTACAAAGGGAGATACAAGATCATGCAAAGTTCTTATGTCTGCTCTCTGGAGAGCCTGCAAGACGGTACCCTTGGTGGAATTCCCATTTAATTCAGAATTATGTGCAAAGTGCCAAATACCCCAGGCTCCCCCTCCAAGAAGGAAGTGCCTGATCCTGCCAGCTATGCCTCGGAAGTCAGGCTGTGCCAGGATGTTCTTCTTCCACACCATCTGGAGTAGCATCTCAGGTTGAAATGAAACCCAGCAGAAAGAACAGATCGGTTTCATCTGTTGTCTTTCCTCAAGCTCAGAAACTATTTTATTATTTTGATTATCATTCAGCTAGTGAATAGAGTCCTAGAAGAGTTGGGGTGGGAAGGGATCTCAAATATCATTTAGCTCCAGCCTCTGCCAAATCTTCCACTAGACAGGTTGCTCAAAGTCCCATCCAACTAGCCTTGAACTTTCAGGGATGTGGCATCCACAGTTTCCCTGGGCAATGTGTGCCAGTGTCTCACCATCCTTACAGGAAAGAATTTCTTCCCAATATCATCTAAAGCTGCCCTCTTTCAGTTTGAAGCCATTCCCCCTTGTCCTGACACTGCATGTCTTTGTTAAAGTCCCTGTCCAGCTCTCCTGTAGCCCCTGTAGCTCTCCTGTAGCAAGTACTCTATAAGGTCTCCTAGGAAGAGAGGAGAACCTCTTCATGGAAGGTGCTCTAAGGTCTCCCCAGATTCTTTTCCAGCTCTCTCCGTCTTCATGACAGCATAATGAATCCCACATTGCTGACTGTGCAACAAAGCATGCCAAAAAAATGCCAGGTGGTGGAGTATTCCAGAAAATGGAAAATCCAATATTCAGCATTGTGGGTGAACTGTAGAAGCAGATAGATCAGGATGGTCTAGGTTGAAGTTATGAATTAGAATCACACATTTCATGGTCTTGGCTCTCTTATTCTGAATTTCTTGACTGAGATCAGGAGAGAGACAGGCCAGTGTAGCTTCCCAGTCTGTTTTTATATTCATGATTCCCATATGCCTTACCAGCAGAGCTGTCAATTCAATGTTAAAGTTATGTATTATTTACAAAACTTTCCCTTGGAACAATTATGGCAAGAGTCAAATCTGGGGAGCTGGGGGGAAAAGAAATACATTGTTAATACACGCACCAGACAGAAAGATAAATGAAATTCAAAATATATTACCTCATTTTCCACTTAGATTAATTGTATTTATTATAAAGTCCAGTTTACTGACTCTGCCAAGCTAAATAAAACCAGTTGAGTATTGCCTGCAATTACAGTTTGTGCAATACAGTGTGTTACAGGTGATAAAACTGAAGCTGGATAACTTTAATATTTGCAACTTCAAACACTACAGAAATGGTTTGCTTTAACTATGCTGGAGATTGCAGGGTAAACATTAAAATTCAGTGTCTGGAATCTGACTTTAGAAGATCTTTTTCATCTGACATTTGCTCAGACATCATTATTATCATGAATAAAACAAAGGTAAGTGTTATGTATTAAAAAATGACTGCCATGTTACCAAGTGTGTGAGTGCAAAGTTCTGAATAGGGCTTTGCAGCAGTTCTAAATCCATGCCTGAACACATTCAGCAATTTTGCATGAATTGTTAATTGATACTGAAGAATAATCATGCTAAATTACAGGTACTGTGGCAAATAACTAAGAAAAATAAATAGCTTTTATACAACTTCTTAACTAGCATTTTTAAAAATGCTAAAAGCTTTAAATCACAGCTAAGCCCCTAGAAACTGGAATGCAAAACAACGTGCACAGAAAAAAAAAAACAACAAAACACCAAAACAAAAAAAAACCCAAACAAACAAAAAACCAAAACTAATTCACTGTGGTTTGTGAGATCCAGCTTTACAAGTCTGCAGTGTTATTCAACCTCTATTTTATTCTGTCTGTGCAGCTGGGAGCAGAAATGTGCAGATGTGCTTTGAAAGGTTAGTTAGAAGCTGAACTACTTTCAAGAAGCTCTCTAGTAGAGATTTCAGACCAGGTAGACAAATGTCATTTGCAATATAAATATAATCAACATTTAAGTACTGGAACAGCAAAGATATTTTATCTACTGTTTAAATATATTTTAATGTATTGCAGCAGTTATACATTTGAATATATTTAAACTCATAGTATTAATTTGCTAATAAATATTCTGCTTAACCAAGAACATGTCCACATCTGCTTCATACTGAGATGTTGGAAGGGAAAAGCTTTTTGTATCAAAATTAGGAGAAGGTTTTATCTGCCACCACCCCTATTCCTTAGGTAAAACAAAAATTACACAACACCGGGGAATTTTTCTGGCTGGTCCACCTTCTCTAACCCTCAAACAAGAGGAGTATAACATCAAGCAAGAGGGAAGGGAAAACAGGACTGCTCCTTGCTGCAGGTGCTGACCACCTTGGGAACAATTTGGCAAAATTGCATCTCCTTAGCCTTTCATTTGTCAATCAGGAAAAATTGCTATAATCCGTCCCCTTGTCCCTGAATGTTTAGAAGAGAGCTACATAACCCCGCTTGAATTATGCACAGTGCTGATGCTCTAATGCCCAGAAGCTAAGCATGATTATAGGGCAGATCAGGTTTCCCTGAAAGCACCCAGGAAAAATGCAGCCTGATTCGAGACACACGGAGGTAAATCTAGAGATCAAAACTGAGTCTAGCAGCTCCAGCACTTCCAGGAGAGTCAATGACAACTGTGCTGTGGTGGTGCACAATGATCTTGCCTCTCAAGAGGCTTATTTTTCGATTAGGCCCTGCAGGCTGGAATGTATTTTTGTGTTTACCATGGCCTATATTTTTCTTCAGAAAGCCTGGACTGCACTTAGTGGTTGTCAGTCCTTATTTGCCTGTTTGCCAAAGTGTTATTTCTGTACAGCTCGCCCCTAAGTACCCTGCCCTGTTAAAATGCACATTGATTACAAGAGATGATGGAAGTTGCTAATACCTATGTTTTAAAACACAGGCTTTTCCCCTCCCAAGTACGGGCTCCCTTTTATTTCGGGGGTTTTGTTGTATATTGTATAATTCGAACTTTGCTTCATTAATAAAAGGTGTCTCAATAACAAGGATCAAAATTGCTTCTGTTCATTATTTGAAGAAAAAACCTTACCTATTCAAGTAATGAGTTAAAGTAATTAAAATAACTTAGTTATTTGTTATAAAACTACAAAAATAATGCTCAATCTCATTCATTAAAAACCAATCTTCAAGGATTCAAGCAGAATCTTCAAATGGAAACATGTTACATGTTAAAAGAATGATTAAGACACTAAGCTTTTTCTTGCTTTTGTTCTGTGTGTGGAAAGGCAAAATGGTATTTATATATCCACATAAATGAAATACTTACGGTTATAATCAGTACTGCTGAGGTAAAAGTTAAAAACCCAACTATATTGTAAGACATTTCACACAGCTTTTGGTCAGGTCTAGAATGATCAGAAAGTGAATGCTTTGTGTCTGAAGTCATGCCTGAAGTTTGTTTCTGAAGAAATCCTTGAAATGATGCATTTTTCTACTGAAAATGTGCTCAAGAAAAATAAAATTACAGTAATAATTGCCAAAAGCAGCCAGCCCCAAATGATTACATGTTCTTTTCACACAAGAAGAAAATTATTTTTTCCACAGCAAAGGCCTGGTTTTCAGTCATCATTGATTTATGAAGGCCACTGAGACTTTAAACCAAAGTACATTTAAGAGTACTGCTTCAGTGGTTTTAATGGTATGAGCATTTAAATACAGCATACAAAACCTCTGGAGTTTAGATCAGTTTAGTGCAAGAGCTCTGTGGGGACACACATTCTCCTCAGATCAAGCTCATATTACTCATTTACAAGCCACACACTTGAAACACAACTGAAGTGAGCTGAGGGAGCATCAAGCCTGGGGTACACATATGCTCCTCTAAACCACAGCTAAACTTCTGTAAGAATGGAAAGGAGCTTTACCTTAAATTGCCAACATGGGCAAATCCTAGAGAAATAGGATTGTGGCTCAGAGGATACTTCCATCAGAAGGAGAAATTTATTATGTTCTAAGAGAAAATGGGAGTGGAGAGGTGTTGTTGCAGGGCTGGCAATGAAGGGAAGGAGCATGGCTGAG